ATTTTCTTTTACTATTTGAATATTCCTAAAAGCTTTTTAAGGATCTCTGCAGCTAGCCAATGTTGGGAAATGTTCTAGAATTACAACAAACTGGTGAAAGGTGTATGGACTTTGTCTTAACTTTAGGAAAACAGATACTCCAGATACTGCTGTATGGAAACAAGCCATTTCTGCTTATTAAAAATAATGCTTCTTAAGATCTTGCTAGCATTGCTTAGTTTAGATTTTAACTGGCATGTTAAGTCATAGCTATTATGCAATTTAAACCAAGATGAGATTTGACAGATCATGCGGAGAAGAGTCCAGCTTCAAATAACACACTTCAGATGTCTGTATTTCAATAGTGTTAATGAGTTTTGAAGATTCTTCACTGTGAAGGACTTAATACTTCCTGTTGTGTTGTCAGTTCCTAGGTATTTAGGCTTCAAATCTGCAGCTGAAAGTTCCTGTGTACAGAAGGTATGTCAGTCTAAGCAGAGCTTTGTATGCTTTGCCACTGATAGTTTAAGATGACTGACAGATGTGGAAATGCACTAGTGGCTGCAGCTTTAAAAAGGAGCTCAGGAGTTGAGAGGGAGGGCAACATGGGAGTGATAGCAAATGGCTTTGTCAGCTTTCTCCTTAATATTATCGATGTTGTCCAGTTGTCAATGGCATCTACAGCAAAGCATGAAGGCAGAATAATATTAAATCATTTTTTGAAGGATCTTTGTTTTAGTCAGAAGGTTATAAAGCTGTCTTAAGCTTCTTCAGTGTGATGTTTCTATTTAAGATGTAGCAGGTTGTATATTGAAACCTAGCAGCAGCAAACTTGCCTTCTGCAGGGGAAGTCTCTTTGTGACTGGTGATGGTGACGTAAATTAGGCAGAGTATTTAGTTTTACTGCTTTTGCTTTTCAAGTTTAGGTCCTCCTTTCTAGTGAACTTTCCAGTAACAGTAGAGAAAAGCTTGGAATTCAGATCTTGTGATATGGAATACTGAATCATGTGTCAGGTGGTGTTCTCAAGCTAAATAGAATACTTGGGAAATAGAAACCAAAGAATTCGGTTTTCTCCCTTTTTCATCTAATTTCTCCTTTTTATTATTATTATTATTATTAATTCTTTATGGCTACTGATGTTTTCCAAGTACCATTGAAGGTGCATTTTTTGATTCTGTGGGTATAAGACACCAATTCAGGTAATTTGTTGAGCTCATGTTGAATGTTGTTCTCCAAGGGCAGCACTGAATAGCTGATCAAGTCAAGTTACTCCTAGTGCTTGTAGAAGTGCTTCTGGGACTCAGGAAGAGTTGTTTCCAAAGCTATTTTCTAATCAAGCGAAGTGGGAAGTAGGAGTACCACATCTTTGAGTCCGAGATGTAAGAGAGTGGGACACAGCTAACTCCAAACTGCTCTACAGAGTCACGGTTCAGTCTTCACAAGTTTTGTTTGTTACCAAGATTTCTTAGCATCTTCACATCTTGCAAGAAAAGATGTTGCTGTTCTGTGCAATTGCCACCCACTCTCTGGAACACAAAGGTTCTTAAACTTCTCTGGTAGCTTCAGCATGCCATGACGTTTACTTGTTAGTTCTGAACATGAAAAGACACTTAAACAGACAGATACTCCTGTTTCTGTGAGCCCATGATAGTGTCACAAAAATAAGGAGAGAAGCATTCTGTCATTGTCCAGTGATTCCTTGAGTAGCCAGTGGCCTCTTTCAGAGTTGGCTTCAGGTTTTGAACATAAGAAATAAGGAATAATGTCTGGTAGGCACGGGTAATTTGAGGCAATGAGATCAGCTTAATTTTAAGACAGAGTTATGTCTTAGGAGTCAAGAAAAAAATGGTTTTAAAAAAGTTAGTATTTGCTTTTTACCAGAGAGCATATGACAAAAATACAAGGAAAATGCGATCTGTTTAACTCAAGAGAACATCTGAAAGGTGTTTTAATTCCCTTATTCCTTCCTCTGTCACGGATGCTTATCTGAAGTGACAGGGTCAAGGCTTGCCCTTGTGTATACCTGATGTCCAAGCTGCACTGACAGAAGAAAACTTTAGAATGTAGAAAGACACTGGATTTCATAAACCATGCTAGATTTTGAGCTTTCTTGTGACCTAAGGCTGTCTTGCTCCTTCATGATGAGTTCCTACATTTGACACTTCCATCTTTGGGCCTGAAATGGCCTCAAATTCCCATGAGTAATAGTGAAGATTCTTGGTGTGGCCAGGTGCCAACCTCTCCTGACCAGACTGTCAGTACAGTAAGTTAATAGCTGCCTCGCTGCCTAGCCAAACCCTTGATAATTAACTCATTATGCTAGTGCCTGCTGAGCTGGGTCATTTTCCATTTCTGTCTTGAGTCTTTTCATTCAATTAAATCTTCTATGCACATAAATCTCTAAATTGAATTTGCAGATTATATAACCATATACCTGGCAATGTGTGCAGTTTGTTACTGGCCTTCATTTGATGTTGGATGTAATACTGCATGATTGTTTCATGGTGGTAATTGTCTTGTGATGACTAAGCCCCTGTTCCCATTTATAGTGTTTAGCCAAAATGTTATGAGCAATAAGAATAATTATACTGATGTGTGAAGAAGTCCACGGAAGTCTGTTTTTTCCATATCAGTATATTTAAAATTAGACTAGAGTCCCATGTCAAATGCAAAAGAAAATGCTCCGGAGTTCACCTTGAAGATGTTATTTTGTCTCGTGGCTTTTTTTTACACACGAAAAGTATTCTCTGTGGCTTATCCCATTAGGCACAACTAGCAGAATGCCACAGATATATTCCTATAGTTCAGTTTTGGTAAGTTTATAGCGTCACGTCCGTGCTTTGTGTTTGCTAATATGTGGAATTCTAACTGGGGTAAAGGAAGAACAGTTGTAGCTGGAGATCTGTGAAGAGAGAGTCTTTCCAGAAATGCTGCTCAAGTGCTTTTCCATCTTCCTCAGAGTTGCTTAACTTAGCTCAGATGTCCAAACGAAAAGAATATCTATATGGTGGGATTATGCCCCCACCAGATAATCCCTGTATTTCAAATAATCATGGCTGTGTACAGAACCACTGTGGTCTGCACAGTGTGCAGAGGTACATCTCAAGAAACCCCAGATCACAACACTGATTCTCAGGGGTAACTTTACTTGAGTTTAAATTAAGGATTGTGACAATTACATGTATTGCATGCATCACATCTGAATTCAAATTGAGCTGCTGCCAGTAGCCCAAACTGTGATATTTTAACAGGATTTTTTTTTTTTTTTTTGCAAAGATGTAAGTGAAATATTACTTGCTACTGCTCCAAATGTTGTCAGACTTTATATATAAAATATGGAAAAGTTATGTCATTTGGTAAGATGTTATAAGCCTAAGGTGTAGTTTGAAATCTTTTTTGGAATAAAACTGGGGCTTGTGGAAAGCTGATGCTTTCACAAATGCTGTTTGTAGTGACCTCTGTTAAGTCTTGCTATTTGTGAGGGTAAAGCATGCTTTTCAACATGGGACACAAGGCTTCAACTACTTATCAATATGGGAATTCCATTTTTCCTTATGGTATATCACGATATTTTTAGTCTTGCTAAATAAATAATCTGTCCTACTTAACCATATCTCCAAATATAAAATATTGCTCATATTAAGACATAATGAATAGTGTGCAAATTTGTATAATGAATTTAAAATAATAGTATATTGTAGCTAATTCCCTTGTTAGGGGTTTGCTTAATATGTATTAATCAAGAGTGGTACAGATAGATGTGCTGTGCATTTCGTGAATGAGAGATGGAATGAAGCCACCATTTGGCAACAGGATTCTTTTATCTTAAACTTGAAATGTATTAAATGGTTGCAGGAAGGAGGCTCTGCAACATTTGTCCATTTCCCTTACTAATTGAGACTTTTGCATGACGAAAGAATTTCTTTTTCTCCTTGGAAGCTGGAAGTAATAAAGATGTGACTAAGCATGTATTTGTAACTCAGTTGCTTGACCTTTCTACAGCCCACAGCTACCACTAATGCTGATTTGTAATAGAGACATTATCGTTTATTTAAATCTTGATTAGGAAACAATTACAAGTAGGGCTTTAGTGTAGCAGTAAATTGATGTAGCCTTTAATTCATACTATAGATTGAGTGGATAAGCTTTCTGACTATAATTAGAGTGGATTATAATGGCTTCAGTTGGTTGACTCATCTCCAGCAGGGTAGGGCCTGTGATTGTTTCTTCACATTTATCTTTTAGCTCACACTTGATTTTTTTTTTTCTTTGCTGTTAAATGTTATCTTTTAATTTAGCAGCAAACTTAACAGTTGAAAGATATTTTGCGTTAATAAAAGAGAAACTTGATAAAACAGTAAAGCACCTCAGCAATGTATATATGTGCTATGCTCTTTACAATGCAAGTGACAGTACTGCTCTTATTAAAATATGGGATAGATAATTTCATGTATGGCTCAATAATGTGAGTGGGAAACATTTCCTTCTGTGTGTATAATTAAATGGTAGAATCATGGTTACTTCTGGCACAGTTTAGTTTTTGTTTACCTATTGTGAATGTTGCAAGATTTTTTTTTTTAGATTACTAAAATATTGTTTTTCTTATTTCAAAATTTGATTTTTCTTCTTTTCAAGTTTCTTTTTAAAAGACCTTACTATTTGGTTAAATATAAGTGTGGGGCATATCTTTGGACCAAAAGAACTTTTTGCTATATTTTTACAAGGTATTTCAAATTTATTTTATAATGAACTTCATCCATTTCAGTAAGCTTTCTATTAGCTATTAAACACTCAGCAGAATCTGTAAGGGTCAGTTCTTCACTTGTTGCTGGTCTTTCCTCCCTCAGTATACTTCATGTGTTTTTACTTCTGGCACAGAAGTGTTCTGTAGGATTGGTATGTGTCACAGTGCTCTGTTAGGCACAGAATTACATAAGGTGAGTGGAGAGGAAAAAAGTAGCAAATAATGATATATCACGCTTGTTAACTATCTGTATTTTTTTTTTCTGTCAATCTGCAGTGGATGATTCAGAACCCGTACAAAGCTGCAACTTTCTTTGGGTGCATTGGCAAAGATAAATTTGGAGAAATATTAAAGAAGAAGGCCGAGGAAGCTCATGTGGATGCCCATTACTATGAGCAGAGTGAAGAACCAACAGGAACCTGTGCTGCCTGCATCACTAGTGATAACAGGTCAGGGGCCTTTAATGTTTTCCTAAGATACAAATGTATGGAGCATAACTTGTTAGAAATGGGATTTGAATGACAAATCAGATGTGGTGCTCAGGGATATGATGTAGCGGAGGGTTGTTAGAGTTACAGTAGTATGGTTAGGTTGTGGTTGGACCTCTTGAAGGTCTTTTTCAACCTGAGCAATTCTATGATTCTGTTTCTATAAAGTACTAGCACTGGTTTGAAGCAACACCGGGCTCCGTGGCATGCAGTTTGGGGTTGGATGATGCTAGTATACCATAAAGAATATACCTCTGCAGTTATATTACAGCAGAGAAGTGGGAGATAACACACAGCCACCAATTTTTCTTCAATTTTTAAAGCTTCTGCTGCTGTCTAATATCCCAAGAGCTGTCCACCAGGTATCCAGGTCCTTTACTGCAAAGGTGTTGTAACATGTCAATGCTCAGACTATATACTATTACGTGGAGTTATTCTATCCCAATTTCTTGACTGCATTTGCTCTCAAGTTTTTTTGCCAGCCCATTTCTCCAGGCCTCTAGAGATCAACTGAGTGGCAGACTGCCCCGTTCTTCAGCTTATCAACCTGTCCCTCACAATTTAATGTCATACCTAATGTCATACTTTCTGGAAAGAATGCTCATACTCAGTGGGAAAAAGGAAGTTTATTCATTTATCTGGATTTTTGGCAATAGTTATATCTGCGGTGTTTCCCCTTCATCTTCCATACTTAGTTCTTCAAAGAGAAGACAAGCAGTAAAAGATGCTTGTCTTTGTGATTTTCTGTGTGGTCGCATAGTGTCTAAGCATGCATCATTACAGCAATCATCACTTCCTAGATGACTTGTTGGGGAAAATTAAGTAAAGATTGTCAAGAGGTGTACATCATGAACTCAGGAAAAATATGTATATATTTTGCCACGCATCCCATTGGAATTTCAAAGTTTAGGTAAATTTATTCATAAATATGTCTGCAAGCAATTCTTTAACTTACTGAGCAGCATTTTTGCTTTGCTAACATAAAACACTTTTCTCTCAATCTCAAATCTTTTCACAAATACCAGAAATCTAATCTCTGGTTCTTCTTTATCTCAGTCACTGTTTTAGAACACGCTTGAGAGTGTACAGGGAAAGTGAGAGACTTATTTCCCTTGTAGGGAATAGGAAAATAGTGGCTGATAGATGCCACTAGAGTCTTTATTGTGCAGCCTCCCTTCTGTTAATGAGAAAAAGTTTATTCTGAGCCTTTTTTTTCCCCTCTGATCATGCTAAGTTTTCACCATTTCTCTTGATTTGTAAGAATCTCTTTAACTGGCTGCAATTGATAGCTCTATTTATTGGTTAATCTCATCCTCATGGGGCATATGCTAACTTCCTTCTTCAGGTAATTCAGCTTTCTTGTCTCTCTGAGATCTCGGAACTAATAAATAGCACTCACGGATTTTCCAGTAAGTGGCTGTGTGTGTTTCTGTTTCAGATGACCTGATATGAATTTTTTTTTTCTATTAAGTCAAGCTTTTTGCAGAAGAGTTCTGAGCTAATTCATGATTATAACTCTAAATTCTCTTGCGTAGCAATACTCAAGTGCTTTGGTGTTTTTTTTCAGAGCTTTTCAAGCAAATTGTAACACATGATTAAACTCTAAAGTAATACCTATGCTCTGTCATAATCTGCAGCTTTAGTATGTTCTGCTCAGAAGTAGCACGTGCATGGAGTCTCCGCTAAGCTGCAGACTTGAAGTCCTTCAACTGTCTCCAATTACCATATTTAATTGAAAAACATCTTCCTTCTTTGTGTTCCTTATGTTGAGCCTAGTGCTGTTAGGCTTAGTTTTAATTTGGAAAAGCTTGAAACTTCTTCAGTGAAGCAACCTTCTATTATGCCTCACATGCAGGGCATCTTTAATGTTAGATGTAGCTGCTGAGAGCTAGGCTTACAGCTTCAGGAATCTGTGGTAAGTGAAAGCAAACATAGGGTCTTTGCTAAGATTTGTGGAATGTAACTTCTTTTCACTTAGCAACGCATGGAGGCAGAATTTTTCCAGCTAGGGCCTTAATGGATATTTAAGAGTTTATTAAGCTGGAAGGCTTAATTTGCTTTATAAATTTAATTTTCAAAGTATTACCAGAATTATACATGTCTTCCTGGAACTTGCTTGATTTTTTCCTGTGAATTCTGTAGATTTCTTGTCACTGAGATGATAACATTCATCAAGAATAAAACTTCTTACCGCATTATTTGTACTGCTGTGGATACTGAGTCTTATTTTCCATACTCACATTAGTCCTCTTTGGCTTTGGACTTCAGAATTAAAGAGAGAAGGCCTTAGAATGTTCCTAGTATTAAACAAAACAGATCTGTGCTGGGTATTTTAATATATACAGAAAGTTAGTCTGGTTCCTTGTTTTACTTTTGACATACCTTATCTGTTCAGTTCACAAGAACTGCCAGTGATGCATGCTTTTTATTGAATAGGAACAAAAAGAAATGGTGTTAGTAGATAGATGCTGTTTTGTTTTGAGGTGGAATACATTTTCAAGAATTCCCCATTTACTTAGTTCCTAACACCTGTGCACAGCGCTCAGTCTGGAGGCGGTAACAAACTCTGGTAGCAGCAGCCTGTAGCATTCCACACTGCCCTGTTGTCTGCCTTACAGTAGTGTTTGTGTGGTAAAGGGAGATACGTACAGCATCAGGTGTACACATGCTGGGGAAGTGGACATTTGTCAATATGTACGTTGCATCTGTAACTACACGTTATTGGGCTCTTGTGCTTAAATATCACAGCAGCAACGTTAATTTTAAAGGTGCATTCCATCACTATTAAGTCTAGAAACTTTCTCACAATAAAATATTGTGGGATAATTTCACTGGAGTTGAAAGCAAGTAGTAAATAACTGTCTTGTTACGGCCCGCATTTAGGAGCTTCTCTATAACATCTGTAGCTGATTTCCCCTGTCTCGTGTTATAATATTCATAACGAATGAAGCACAAATGAGCTTTTAGTAATGTTCTAGCAGGGCATAGCTAAACCAAAGGTGTTTTTTTTTGTTTATTGCCTTTGGGTGGTTTTTTGTTTCTGTTGTTTTTTGTTTGGTTAATTTTTACAATTGAGCATCTAAAGCCCTGACTCCTTTTCAAGTAGTAATTTACTCATTTGTTGAAGGAAAACGTAACTCCAAGGAAAAATTTTAAATCAGCTTTTAAAATAATATAACTGTTCATTGGAAAATGATAATGACAAGACATATACATATTTAAAACCTTGTTTATTGTCATGACAGAAAACAGTTTGTAGAACACAAAGGAAGTTAGATACTCTAATCTGCATGTTAGGAGGTACCAGGAAAAAAATTTAGCAGAAACCTGCAGATACTAAACTGTGCAGAGGGACTCGATCATGAAATGGAAAAACAAATGAAAAGTAAACAAATGAAAGTGTGTGTGTATATAATAAACATATTAAAAATATATAATAGTGTTATGTAAACTCTGTACATGGATTTAAAATGTATTATTTAATAAAATTACATTTTAAATATCATTTAAAAGAATTATTATGAAACAGCAAAGTATATCAATTTTATTGTGTTTCAATTGTTCTTTTTTATGTTCCTGTAAGGATCTTTGATCTTTGAGAAATTTGCAGTAGTATTAGTTAAGGAGGATCTAATGCCTGGCTTTTAATGTCTTTTAGGTCACTTGTAGCTAACCTTGCTGCTGCTAATTGCTACAAGAAGGAAAAGCATCTTGATTTGGAGAAGAACTGGAAGTTGGTGGAAAAAGCCAAAGTTTATTACATAGCAGTAAGTTCAGCTTCTTCCAAATTATGAAAGTTTGAGTTATGGCATTAAGAGATTTAAGCAACAACCATGCCTATTGCACGGATTTAGGATGATTTCTTATAAACATGAAAGAAAATGTCTGCTCCAATTTCATCATAGCACGATTTCTTTAAATTTAAATGTAAAAACATTTAAGAATCATTTAGTTGTGTGCTTTCTTGAATTAATGGGAAAAATTGAAACAACTAAATATATTTTCAGAGCTTTTGTAGTCGTGCATCAAATTTACATTTCACATTTTCTTGTAAATTGTTGTGAAGGATGCACAAATGATGTAGAAAAACACTATTAGCATAATTATTCACTGCAAACAGTTTGAGCTTATTTGTGTGAACAATCTTAATTGCTATTTATTCCATAGCAATTACTATGGCACCTTTATAACTCAATATTTCAGAAACAATGATTGTGATAAACCTCTTGAATCTGGATGGTGGTGTAAACTGGTGTTAATGATGAAATCTTATTTCTGAAATAAAGAGATCTTAAGTATAGGGCATTAGTAAATTCACAATATTTATTTATTTGCCATTCTAGAATGAATCAAGCCAGATTACTGCATTTGTTTAAATTACATCTTGTGTAAACAGAAGCAGTGGATTTGTTTTCATTTTGCTCTCAAGTTGATATGATTGACCAAAATTAACAAACGTAAAACATCTATGACAGATTAAAACCTCATAATGTGCATGTAATATATGGATTCTGTATGACAGCTGCTTCCATTCCGCTACCTGAGCTATGTGGGAACAGCTGGTAAGAAGTGTAAAAAATTGATTATCCAAGAGGAACAAGTTCATTGAAAATACAGTTATTTCTTTTAGCTAGTGTTAATGTCTCCTACAGCCTGTTAGTTTGCACTGCTGTAGGCTCTACATGGTTGTTATTGATTCTTGTGTACGGCCAAGACTGCCCCTTTACAAACTGTCAAAAAATACTTATAACCTTCTCAGTGTACAAAGAAAATACATCCTGCTGCTGTTGCCATATGTGCTGCAGCTCATAAAAAAAAAAAACAAAAAAAACCCATTAATGCTTTGCTCATTTTTTATTTCTGTTTTTTAAGTGTTCTGTGTCTATTTTTCAATAATTATTCCTCATCCTGTTCCAAATGCTATGCTTAGGAATTAATGCTATTGGATAAAAGATACTGGAAATATAAAAGTATAGTTAAATGTAGAAAAACAAATGTTACCTGAAGAAGCATTAGCATGCTGCCCAAAGCTTTTATTTACTTTTTTTTATTACTATGTTTATATATAATTACTACTCAAATTATCAGTATATGATTATAAAAATAAATAAATAAACTTAGTGGAGATGCTTTAGGGAAAGTGAGAAAAATTACACAAAGTGAAAATAAGTTTCTGGGTTGTTTTTTTTTTTTTTCCCTTAAGATATAACTTTGGTCTTATTTTAGTTCCAAAGCCTGCCTTCTGTCTTCTATCCATTTGGTCCCTTTAATTTTGACTCAGTAATGCTTTCTACTGATTTTTATATGTATGAAGTGTTTTGGTTTTTTTGGGGGGGTGATATCCTGCCTTTTTACCAAGGGATTTAGAATTATTGTGTTAGATGGAAAATAGAATCCAGAATGTACATGTATTAGTGGATAAATAACACTATTGTGTAAGTGCTAATATATTAAGTATTTGTTAAATTGGCTTCATATTAAGAAAACATCTGCTTGCAAGAGGGTATCTGCTGGGTGAAGAACCTGGTTCACACCAGTAGCAATTGCACTCAAGGCTGGGTTCATTTAAGAGATTTCTAGGACAGTGTTATCACTTCAGATTACAGATTGCACATGTGCCTTAAGTTAAATAAAGGAGACAACATGTAGAACTGAACACTTTTATTTTCCTTTAACTTCTTTACTCGCAGGTTTGTAGTGGTCGATGGGATTAAACAAATCCACATCATGAACAATTAGCGCTCCTGCTGCTCTTTCAGTCATTAATTTGCTCACTGTTGTGTCTGTCTGCACTTGAGTCTTGTTACCTCTTCTGGCTCTGCGCTGTGCTTACGTCGCTTTTTATTTCCGTCTTTCTATCCAAGCGTCACCTATTTCCTGGATTGCATTACTGTATGTTTTAGTGACAGATAAGTTTTTTGAAAATCCTTGTTCTGAGATTATCAAACAATCTATTTTCTTGGCAGAGCAGGCCAGTTGCTGCTTTAGGACAAGTCTGCGATATCCTGTGGTCATCTGTATGTGCTTGCTAGGATAGATAATATGCTTTTCAATGCAGCTTTCAGCAGAATGGCCCTCAGATGAAACTTAGCTCTGAAATGTAATCAATTCACAGAGGGGGTAGGTACAAAGGAAAAGATAGTGAACCCATGACAGAACCCTTAAAGACAACTTCTGTTACCATGAATGAACACAATACCTTTATTTTAGCCATCTGGTAATCGGATCCGCCAGACAAATTGGAGAAAGACAGCAAAGAATAGAACCCTGTAAATCACAGATAGAAGCAAAATGCAGAAAGACTGCCCCAGCTTATGCAAAAACAGTAAACTTTAAAAGTGTTTTTTAATCCCTTAAAATTACTTGGTGTTGTATCTTTTAAGATAGATTATGTGTACTGTCAAACTCCATGCGATTTCTTTCCCTTTTCCAGATATTATTCATATACTTGCAGTAATTTCTGCCATTGACATTGTATCTTCTGGTCTGTCAAATTCATTTCGTTGTGGATCAACTAGCTGTACTGCTGGTGCCTGATTAGAATTCACTGCTAGGGATTTTATGTAGTTCCTACTGGGCCTAGAAAATCTTTTCCTAGACATTTACCCTATTTCAGAATAAATTGAAGGTTACGATAGCACTAAGCATTGCTGTTCTGATTCTGAAATTGTGAATGGGACACAGCCTGGCATAAAAATAATCTCAAGTTGTGTTTTGTGTATGATTTTTATATAAATAAATAAATCTCTTGGTAAAGGTTACCTAAGTAGAAAAACTAAAGAGAATTTTAGTTGTTGTCTTTTGATTCCAATTAGCACCTCTGTGTTAGTAAGAAATTTGGCACTTGTCATTTCATAACAGGAAGAAAAAGGAAAAGGAGAAAATGCTTTCCTCTATAAGACATGCTGCACTTAACCTTGTGAAACGTTCTCAGCAACAAATGATACTGCCTTATTATACAGACAGCTGAATTTTAACTTTCTGTCTGTATTTGAGCCCTATTGCTGTAAATGCAGGCTGCTGGATGCATTTTGCTCTTGTTCCAGGTACTCATCCTTACTTCTCCCAGTTATTTAGCTTTACTCAAACCTGCATTTGTTTAATACTTTCATGTGAAGTCATTAGATGTGTGAAACACTCCCACTGACTGCTGTAGTAGCTTCCCCAAATCAATCAGATCTTTACAGAGAACCAACCAGATTGTCTGCTGTGAAAGATGTGATTTTTTTTTTAATACAAAGTAAAATAGTAGGTTTTTGGCTATAGACTGCCTTTGAATTTGTGTTTTGTGGCTATAATTTATATACAAAAAAGTTGGTGTTTGTGTATATTTTTATATATGTGATGTGTCTGAAAGGTTTTTTGGTAGTACCTACATACACTTTGATATGGCTATGGCATTGCTGATGTTCACGCTCCTCTAAGCTCATGAAAAGGACTTGGGACTGTTCCTACACTTCATTGTTTGCATTATGTTCACTTTTGTTTGCCTTTTGCATTTACAATGCCTGAGAACCTGTTGTAGCTGTTGTAGGTAAAGACTAGAGGAGCAATTAAACTTTTTTGTAGTCCTAAAACTTATTTCTATGCAGCTGAATTTTGGGCTGCTCTCTTCCATATTGTCCTACAATATTTTACTCAGAGAAGGCAGTGCTTTCATTCAGACATCTTCATGTGGGCTGTTGTTATTTCACAATCTGTAAAAGTTTAAACCATTGTTTTTTTACTAGTTTTGTGCAGCAAATAATAGAAATTTCTCAATAGTGATGTCTTTCAATTGCACGGCACTGAGTATAAAATGTTGTAATACCAGTTAGATTTGTTTGCCTGCAGTTAAATTACATCCACCACCTTCTGCATCTCTTTTGTGTTTTCGGAGTTAATGGCAAGTGTAGTTTAACTTGATGTTAATGATAGTTCTGATCGAGACCATGTATTCTGGTCTTAGGCTATGTTTCACGTAGGGAATATTAGGTATTGCAACATGTGATAATGAACTCAACATAGCACTGCTGGAGTATAAGTTTTTAAACCTCCAAGCACTCTGGTATGTTTCAGCAAATACTGTGGTATTTTTATATTTATTTCCTTTTAATACTTAAGTGCTTATCTAAGCAGAGAGATACTGTGGTGGTGTAGTGGGCTTGATGGCAGAATTATCTGGTTTCAACACGAGTCTGTCAAAACATAAGCTCGATGTCAGCAATGTGTAGCAAAGCTTAAATAACATTTTACTGTATTTTACATGGGTTTTGGCTATTCTTCTTGAGAAAAAATACTGATTATTGTAACAATGTAAGTATAAATGAAATTTCTTTTGTGCTGTCTCCTCCTTTCAGAGGCATGTTCAATGAAGGCATTTTTATTGTAATTTACTGCTATGATGAGTATGATAATTTACAACGGATTGTGATAGTTTTTTTTTCTTTGAAATGTGCTGGGTCTGTGTGTGCATCATGGGAAATGGAGGAGACAGACACTGGCAGGAATCAAAATATCCCCTGAAAAGTCATTTGAAAAACTCTCCACAATAGCTTTTTTTTTTTTTTTTTTTTTTTTACATCATTGATAACTTTTGCTGCAGTGCTCTAGCATCAGAATGTATGTCATTTGACATGTAAAACTATTTCTCACAATAATGAATTGGTTTTATGGCCAGGAAAATACACAGTTCTGAATGTCTTACTTTGCCATAAAGATGAAGCTGCATCTAGCAAGTTAGTTGGGTCATCATTTAGTGGCCTCTCAGATATCATTGCCTTTCTGA